TCAGAATTAAATTACTTAATGCTAGTATTAAAAAATACAAACTATGCTAATATTGTATTATATACTAAATGTTGATAAGACATGTTTTCTAAATGGTAACTTCTAGTTATCTGCATTTTTTTTTTCCAGTTCACGAAATAAACCCTGAATAATTTTCAGGGTGGGCTTTCCTGTGCCACAGCACTGAATTGTACAGCATAGAGTGTTTACAAGAACCCTGAAGCATCTGAAACACACTAAACCCCAGGTGATGCAATTTGAGAACAGTCCCCTGAACTACTGCTGGTCACAAGTAAGAGAGGAAGAAGCAATGACAGTCTGAAGTATCTAGGTTTGCTTCAACACACACTGGTATCCAAGGAAAACTGGAAATGCCAGAGGAACTATTCCCTGAGTGTTACCACAGCCTCAGCTGGTATCTTAGATAACTGCCACTTTCCTTCAAACCATTCAGCTGTGCTGTTCTATAGATTGAATGCTTATTCAGAAGTTGAATACAGAAAGAAAATGTTAATTTTTTGTACCCCATTCATAAACGAGCTTTGTATTCTATGAATGCTCCATGACACTGAAGTGAATATACTTACTTATACCCAGCAGGTGCACCACACCTCGGACATTAAGAGGGTGGGGTAACAGCCTTAGATGACCAAGTACTACTGAACAAGAGGTCTTTCCTTATATTAAATCTGCCACTATAGCTAGGTATAAGGCACAGATCCATGCAACAACACCACACCTGAAATGGAAGATCTTTCAAAACTTTTCTGATGAATTTTAATAGCTTTCTCCCCATCTGCACATTCTACACAGGGCTAGATCTCACAATGTTGTTTTGCAACTAAAACACATCTATGATAGTCCTGCTTGAACAACAAAGATAACTCTCAGGTCAGTGCTGAACTCGAACCCAGATTTACTTAGAGAACTCTTCACTTAAGTTCTGCAAAAGAGCCCAACACCTAATTCCTAGTGTAATCCTTCTTTACCTCATTTATTTTTCCTTCTCTCACATCCCTTTAATTTCCAGTGTAGCTTTATAAGGCTTGCCTAAGTTTGTTTTCAAATAAGCACTCACTTAAGAAAAGGATTTATTTTTCTATGGTTTCACAAGGAATAACTGCATCAACAGAGCTAACAGCAGCAGGAAAATGCATATGAATGCAGGACCATCCCCTGAGACCAGTGTAGGGGATATATCAGTGTTCCACAGAACACTGATCAGACCAATGTGCCTTCTTCCCATGCACCAGTAAGGCACACAACAGTACTGACTGCTTTTGCATTCTATCTCATCTTCAGTCACTCACATTAGCCTGGCGTGGTACAATCGTACTGGAAAACAAATAAACTCTATGACAAATGGACATATAACTGGCCCAAGGAAGAGCAAGATCAGAAGAAGGGAAGATGAAAATTAGGATAAGAAAGTGCAGTAATAAGCAATACAAAGTTGTATGTTCTGATGACAGAAAACAGACATTTCATTTCCATCCTCACCAGAATGATGTAAGCCCCTAGGTTTCTACTAACAGAAAAACGAGATAATACAGAGACTGGAACCTAGTACTGATTTTAAAAATTCTTTAATTAGTTTTCATCAGGTGAGATTTCCATTCACTTCTACTCCTTGGTTAATGATTTTCAAGCTCAGTTCTGAAGTCCGCCTTCAGCTGGGAACTTCTGAGTGAAGGAATGATTCTGCCAGTGGCTGCCGGAGATGTGAGACCCTGCGGACCCACCGCACACACTTACAGACATCAGGGACACACCGCATACACGTAGGGACAGACAGACAGCACTCCGGGACATTTCGCACACCGAGGGAGCATAGTGGTGCCTCGGGACAGTCCCACCTCTGCAGATTAAATACACGCACGGAAAAAAAAAACCCAAACCAATCAGGAAGAGACTCAAAACCCGAGCACTGTCTCAGCCTAAGTTTGTAGGACGCTGCCCCAACCTTCAGGCCAAAGCCCCGCGGCCGCCTCAGCCTCGGCCAAGCAGGCGGCGGCACTGCCGGCACACTGAGCAGGAAAACTTTGACAACAGCCGGTTCCCGCCGCAACCATCCACCGCTGCAAAGCAGCCGCCCTCAGACTGCAGCTTCACAGGCTGGTGGGGTCCAGGGAGGACGCCCTGAGGCCGAGGAACCGCGCTCGGCCGAGGGGCACCCGCCGCCTCCCCCGCCCGGCGCGCAGGCCGCGGCACGTCCTCTCCCTCCGCCCGCTCCGCCTGGAGCCGTCCCCGCTCACCTGTCCAGGGTCTCGGCGCTGGGCTGCCGCGACCCCGCGCCCGCCGCCGCGGCGCCCCCCGCCCGCACGGCTCGCCGGCTCACGCCACCGCCCTCCATAGTCTGCCCTGCCGCCGCCGCCGCGCGCTCCATGGTTCCGGCCGCGCCACCGGGATGGCGAGCGGATTCCCGCCTCTCAGCGGCGCAACGGCCCGGCCGCCTCAACCTACGCCGCTGGGGCCCCAGCAGCCGACGGCTGTCACCTGGCGGCGGCGCTTTCCCAGAGGCCTCCGCGCCGTGAGAGTGGGCGGGCGGCAGGGCCGGGCCGGGCAACTCCTGCCCACCGCCCATTCCGGCCGCAGCACTAAGACACGGCATACGCCGGGCGCGCCAGGAAAAGGGCTGTTGGAGGCAGAGTGTTCAGCACTTACATCTTTATTTTCCCCTCCGGCAGACGGATGATGTTCACTGCTCTCCCCCCGACCCAACGCCTGACACACAGGGTCCGGCTCCAGAGCAATCCCGCGGTATCCAAGGAGAGCGGCCGACACGGTTAGTGAAGGAAGCGGTAGTACTGAGGAGATCCTGCGCCTTAGAGATCATGTTTTATCATGAATGACAGAATGCTCGCTGCGGCAGAACACCTGAGGTTAACAATAAATCAGAAGCAGGTAGCACACAAGTCATGCCTTGGGTACAGCCGTAACAGTGATGCTGGGGGGAAGGGTAAGGCATGAGCAAATAAAGAAGGCATTCAACAAGTAACAGAAGCCCAGTACAAAACCTAGCTTATTCTCCTCATGTCCATGGAAGGAAGAATACAATAAACCTAAACTAGCATTCCAAGACTGACATTTCCTATGGGATATTGGGCATTCATTGCTGGTGATGCTGACACCCCAGCCCTGCTTTTTCACCCTCCTAGGAAAGGCACTCAGCACCTGCAAGTCTCGTCTTCACGACCTCAGAAGTTTCCCCAGGTGTGCTTCTGGCAGGTAACAGGCTACAGTGTGCACAGAGAACAGGAGATCTGTGCAGACCGACAGCCTACAGCACCCAGTTATGAGGGAAGGAGAGAGATATTCTGTTAGCTTTGGTAAGCTTGTATGCCTATATTGACAAATAGTATTTTCCAGAACATATTGGATTAAAATCACCCTTATCTTGGTCTCATATGTAAAAACAATTAAAACACTTATCTGCTGACTTGAAAAATTCCAAGCCTGCAGAGAGCTATGTTAGAGCATCAAAGACAAATTCAGCTGAAGAGTAATACAAAGTAATATGCAATGAAGTAAGTGCAAAGAGATCCTTTCCATTATATTACTCTCCCCAATGTAATAGGTTATCACATAGTGTTTACACATTAAAAACTATTAGATTTTCAGAACTTTTTCACACTGCTCAGAGACATCACTAATATGCTAAACTCAAATACTGAAACTTTAAATATTCTAATAAAAATAGCGTTTTTTAAATAAACAATAAGTAAGTAGAAGGTAAATATATCAGAGTATGCATAGCTTTCAACATGTAAAAAACAACGGAGTATCCTTCTTTGTTTATCTGATGTAATGAACCTTACCTTAACAAGTCATGATTGGGGGACAACATTGTTATTTTGTATACACATACTGGAGAGCATAGCTGGGAGAATGAAATTTAGAGGACAAAAGTCATATAATTCTGCATATTTAGAACACACATACTGTATGCTCTGAACTTCCCTGAAAATATAGTGCAACTCAGTGTATATACTGAATTAAATCCAGAGGCGGTATATTTTTATTCCTTTGAAAAAATACTGTTTTAAATACTCAATGTCCTCTAAACTTTGATTTATTTTATGGAACTATACCTTTAAATTTAGTTTTCATATGCAAAATATTTACACTCCACAAACTTGCAGAATTTCTCACAAACTATATTATATACACTCACACAAAACTTATATATAATCCCTGTTATATCTTGCAGATCAAAACTCACCACATGTACAATAATTTATAATGACAGAAGCCTCAAGCATCAAAATATTTCCTTTAAAATAACAATATTAGAGTCCTTTACAGATTCTGATTTGCAGTATTTCCTGGATTGCCTGAATATCATTAAACTTCTCAGAATATGCAAAAATTTTAATTAAATATCAAGAGCAAAGTTTGTGCTGTGGTAAGAAATGCTTGCAATTATTTTAAAAATTCCTGAAAGGAACACATTAAAGATTTACAAAAAGCCTCTGAAAGGTAAGCTTGAAACTAGAGCTCACTTGAATGTTCAATGTAAGTGCACACACTATATGCAAATCTGGGATACCAAAGCTCCTTAAAATACTTTAGAATAAATATGCTGAACAGGAGTTAAATTAAACAATAAAGTATGAATGTACAAGTCTTCAAAATTATTTATAACTGAGAATTTTTGTCTACTTTGGTATAAAAGCTCCTTTAAACAGGCACATTTACTTTTAGAAGACAAACAGAAGTTTTAATACTATGGCTATTGCTGGATATTTAAGCAATGTCTCTGTGGTTCTGTTTCTAATTATATAAACCTTCTTTTGGAGACATTTAATTCTGTATTAATCCAAACAACCAATACTGCCCGTAGTGATAATTTGTACTGTACTTCAGTGCTGAACAGCTAGCCCAAACAGAACTTCTCAGAAGCCAGTACAACTTTCATTTGTTTTTTGGGTTTTTTTTTAATAAAATCAATTTATCAAAAGATACTTTTTTATTGTATCTACTGAGCTATTTGAATTTTTTATTTAGAAGCATATCACTGTAATGACCTCCATATTTCTGTTTATTTAAAATAAGGAAAATTTGGAATTCTCGGGTAATCAAAGTTTCAACACTTTGACATCTTGCAATATAATTTATTTTTCTCCCATGAACTCCATGAATGTATTCCTAACAGGAATACAGACATACCTAATTTTATAAAATATGAGTATTCCTATTGCCATTATTGTGTTTATTCACGACATGCAAGACTGAGCATGAATTTCCTTACAGAAACATGAACTAAAATGTAATAAATTAAAGCATTCTCACAAAAACAATAAATCAATTTAATTTCAGTTGTAGCAGATCTACCAAAATAACTCTTAAAACCCTCCATAGCTTTGAGCTGATTCATATTACCAGTCCACAGGTTGTGAAAGGCACGTAATCGAAGAGTTGGGTTTGCTTTGAAGTCCTCCTCAAATTAAGACAGTCTAAAATAATTTGTGTTAGGATGGTCTAGTGCAAGGCATTAAAATATTCCTCTTTATGGTATAGATCTATGTTAAGCACCACTTGCTATTACAGTATAGAAAGAAGCCAATATTTTCTTCAAAAATGTGTTTGTACTTGGGACACCATTTGTGAGGGAGATGTTGATGAGGCTGATGAATTGGATATCTTAGAATTATTTGTGATCTGAAGCTCTTCAAGTCTCCTGATATAATCATCACGCAATGCAAGGAGCTCCATGTAACGCTGGTCCACAGGGTTTGGCTGCTAGGAAGAGATCCATGTTAGTCTTAGCACTTCAACTACTTATACACAGGCTGCTAGAGTACCCAGGGCTTCCTGGCAGGTGTAGCAAGTCATAGCTAAACAAATACTCACTGCTGTAACCTGAGAGCCTCTGCCTTCCAGCTGTCTCCCCCAAAGTCAATCTTGGCACAAAATTGTTTGTCCTAACTCAGTAAAATCAGCCACTACTTACTGAAGCATATGGATTTTATTTTCTTGTTATCTAATATTGTGTGCAAGATAGTTACTTGTATACCTTGACCAAAGCTTTTTTCTTGACTTACTGAAAGGTTTTAGAGTCCAGAAGTGAAACGTCTCAGCATCTTCCCTAAAACAGTGTTTAGCCAGATTATTTTAGCTACACTGATCAGATTAAGATCTATGTCTTCAGCATAAATAATTTCTCTCACTGACGAAATTTACTTGAGTTTTTAATAGTAAATTTACAACTTAGTGTAAATAAACAAATTAAATAAACTTTATTAGTGAATTCTCTAAGTAAACTTGAATGTGTTTAAAATCAACTGCTCTGGTTTCAGGAGATTCCTCAGAAAGAGCCTTTTAACTGTTTCCACTTTGAGTTTAACTTCCTTTTCAGACTAACGAAACAAATGGAAAAGGACTATTACAAATGTCCAAAGCAAGCCTAAAGTTACCTTCAGCTGAATATACCTTCTAGAAGTTGTTGCTGTTTCACAGTTAACTGTCTGTAATTCAAAGCTATCAGCAGTAGAGTTTCAGCAGCAAATGGTTAAACACCTCACCAGTTCAAAACCAGTTCAACCAGCACTCTGAGATGCACCACTCACTATGCACCCATATGAGGATCATGATGAATGCTGAGGCAACTGTGGAAGTTAGTACCTACATTCAGCATTGATCCAAGATGACTAATAGTTTTGCTAGCAGAACATACTTCTAAGAAATGACTAAGAAAGGTCATAAAAGTAGTTCAGGCCACATGCTCATTATTCAGTTGCTTAAGTGAGATGAAACATAAATTTCATGTGCAGAAAAAAAGCTGCATTTTGTGTACAAAAATGGTGAAAATGAGGGACCAGTAGTAGCAGCATGGAATACTATCACTTGGGTTTGCATTTCCAAGAAGAAACTGCTGCCAAAAAGCTGTCCCTAATAATGGCAAACTGCATTTTTAAGTAGATCTACAGCTAATTTACATGCCTTATAATCCTTCACTTTCTAAACAAATCTTTATGTTCACCTTTTGCAAAACACCCTCATCTTTCACAACAAGCAACAAAAGCTTTAAAACCAGAACTTGCAATTCCAATAAGCAATGTATTTGTAAAAGGCCATAGCAAACTGCCAGGCTTTCCTGAAGCCTCTAAAGTGCTGTAAATAATACAAGAGATGAGCTATGGAAAAGGAAGTGTATTGCTTGAAAACTACTGACTCATTCCAAGGGCTAGACTGTGAAGATTCCTTCTGTCAAACAAACTGCTCCTCTGTCTTCTCCTACTCAAATCTCCACAAGCTGTTAAAAATGACAAAACCGTCTCTGTACACAATCTTTATGTGCTACATGGCCGAGATTTCCAGCAAGACTGTAACAAACAAAGTGTCCATATGGATTAAAACCACAGAACTGAACTATGTGTCATTTGATAAATGCTTTTCTGGACTTTCAATCTGATCCACTTGTATAATTTTCGGTAAAGCTTTCATCCACAGTGTAAACAATGCTGAGTCATCAGCGCTACATAAAAAAATTACATCTTGTCATCAATACATATAGCTTTGAAAGAGAAAGGAATCAGTAGGTCACTTCATCTGTAAATTGTTTCATACCCTCTCTCAGCAAAAGCAGAAAAACCAATACAATGGTGTTTGTGTTGCTAATGCCCTAACTCTTCTGGGATGAGCAAGCCCCACTTCCAAGCACTGTCATTCAGGATTCAGTAGAATCAAATGGCCTTAGACATATGTCCAAGAGAAAGGGCTAGAAAGAGCTCAAGGATGACTTGCTACTAAACAGGAAAATAAGTTCAATGAGCTGAGATCTAAACAATTACTTTCACTTTTTTTCTCCATCTTTATCAATATAACATTAAAAATCTGAACAGATTACAGGTACTGCTCTACAAGTCAGTTATGACACAAAATCCTTACTTCCAATGTCTAACAGCATTTTTTGTATGCTATAGGGAATTTACTTACTTGTTGCCGAATCCTTGGGTTCCACCTGATGTAGTAATTGACCCAGAGCTCTAAATGCCTCATGCTGGCTACTGGATAGAGTGCTCTATTTACCTCTTTACTATAAAAAGGATTGGTGTATTTAGATTTTTCACTGTTTATCAAAGACCATAATGATAACGTTTTCTCAGTCACTTTCTAAAATGAAATAAAAATAAGAACATAATATAATATGAACATAATATAATCAAGAAATCCATCACAGAAGCCATTGTTACATTCTAAAATTTGGTTTACTTAGAAGCATGATACACTAACTGTATTAGAAAGATTCCAGTGCTTGACAAGTATTTTAATGACTGCATGGCACTACTGTATAAGAAAAAATAGGTACAAAAATCACTGTCTGCAAGGATTATAACCAGATACAATTAAACCAAAAATTTTGCAATCACCTAGAGTAAAGACAGCAATGCAATAAGACAATCACTGGATTGACTAACCTCTTTTTCTCTGAGAAACTCGCTGTTATACAAGAAAGTGCCAAACCGGCAGCTGTACAAGTGATCCAAGATTGTAATCAGGAACTGCTCGTTGAATTCAAAGGCCGTAGGAAACTAAAACCAGGAAAGACAAACTCATTGTTTACATGGAAAACACAGGTACATGCCCTGGTTAAAAGACTGAAGATAGAGTTTAGAAGAGTGGATATATCTACAAATAATTTTAAGGTAATACTTTCATATACTTTATATCAGACTAAGTATTCCAATGACACATGGTGTTCAACTTTCTGAAACTAGCCACTGAAAAAAATCTTTAATTTATAAATCTTTAATTTATAATTTTTATATTTTTTACCTTTAATTTATAAAAAGAATAAAATATGGAATGGTTACACATACACTTTTACTAGCAAGACAGAATTAGACAATGCACTCTTACAGTGCAGCACCAAACAGGAAAATAATCCTTAACCCTAAATGGACTAAGTTCACTGCTTTGTTTCATTACTTACTGACATTACAATGTTTAAATCACAAAAGCACTCAGAAGCTCCCTAGCTTCCTTTTTAAGCATTGACAGAACAACATGTGTCCCTGCAGTTCAAGGGACAGCTTCATAAAAGGGTCAAACAAAACAGCAGACCCCAACAAGCAGGGTCCAATTCCTGTAAAAGCTTTCTGCTGGGTATGAAATATCCCTCAGTATGTGTCTGAGAATCCCGTATCCAGGAACACCAGCCATGCCTGTACAGCCAGTGCCATCCAGCAACACAACCACAGCCTATATATCACTTTCACAAAAGTAAATACACTTTTTTAACTACAGGTCAGAGCAGAGAGGTATGCTGTCCTCTTCAAATATTTTTTTCAAAAAAAAATAAAGATGTAGGGTTTTAGTTTAGTAATCTCTTCACACTGTAACCTTCTGAAGAACAAAATAACATACCTGTTTAGACATCTGCCACACACAATCAATAAACTGGAGAAAGATGGGTGATCTGTCTGCATCAGCATGATTTTTATCACCGTGGCCTATTCTCTGAAATGAAGCAAAGCAGCCTCCTGGTAACTGAAACATGCTATCTTATGGCAACAGATATGGTTTCTTATTTTGTACTAGAGCATTAATTCTTTTGCAACAATGCAACCCACTGTTATAATTTCAAAATTAGTTGCTGCATCAAGGAGGAGAGATTAAGATACAGAGAAACACTGCAAAGCTGTTACAAAGATGTCTGAAAAAAATTCCAAACTGATAACTGGTCCAGTTATATAAACCTGCTGATTATTAGACAAGCAGAACTGTTGAAGCATCAACAGTTATCAACAGAATACGACTTAACAAATAATCAAGACATATTCTGAACTACATTTACATGGTAAGTCTGTCAAAAGCCAAGTGGCATACTTTGTTTTCCTTTTTATTTTAAGCCACTGCAGGACCTAGATCATCAAATTATCCACACAATCTTCTCTTTCTCCTCCACTCTTGAACCTTAACATTCATCCTGAGATAGTAGGCAACCGTGAACAAGATCAAAGAAAGTTCATGTTCCTGACATAAAATTAACAGATTGTTAAAAGTTTAGGTGAGCCCCTTATTCTGAGGTGCCCAAAGTAACAATCAAAGGAATTTGCCCTATAGACAAAAAGTAATTTCATAAAAGCTGTTCACTTCCTTTTTGCATTTGATAGCTGAGAACAGGTAAGAGATTCAGGGAAAAAGAGTTTCTATTAATTCAATAATTCTGTTTGCATGTATTTGCTGGAGGAGACAAAAGAAAAGCAGGTATGTTGATCTAAGATGTTGTCTATCTGCCTGTAAGATAGCAAACTTAATGCCTTAAGGACATGAAAAATCATAAGAGCAGTACACTACTTTCTACAACGGCTTGCAACATAGTTTAAAATAATAGAACTAAATGGGAAGAAATAGAGGGAGTTGAGAGATTGCAGCTCAATCAGTCAACAGTAACAAATGACTAGAAAAGGGCTTTAAAAAAGAAAACCAAACTGATTTCCTTGCTCTTCAGTTTTCATGTTTTGAAATACTTGTTATCCATTAAGAGTCATATATGTGTTTAGTAAGGCGTGAAAGTCTGTCCACTTCCACTACAGTTAGCAGTTTCAGAATGTCTATCTTCCATCTATAATTATGTCTCATATTTGAATGCATAATTAGAATTAAATTCCACATAAAAGCAAATTTATCATCTGGAGAGTGCACTAAATTCAGCATACATAGAAAAGTTGGGGTAGAGAATTCCTTTACAACAAGGAAATGTATTGCTCGCCTCATTTGATAAAAAATACGGAGAGGAACTATTAAGTAGTCTACTATTTGGTTATTTGATATTAATAATCCAAATTGCAACCCTGGTATCATAAAAAACATGAAGCTTTTGCCAAGTCAGACAATATAAGTAACACTACTCTTCAACTCCCTGCTAAGGGGAAAATGAAACAACGTTTTCAGAGATGAAGTTCAGGAACTGTTCTAACTGCAGTAAGTGTCTAGTTCTCTTCAAAGTCACAATTCTATCAAATAATTATCAAGCTAAAACAGAGTATGAATGATCAAAATATTTTATGCTTGCATTATAATTTTATCATAGAATAGTTAAGGTCAGGAAAGGCATTTGAGTCTTTCAGTTGGACCATTGGAGTCCAACTGTTACCCCAGAACTGACAAGTCCACCACTAAGGCATGTCCACAAGCAACACATCACATATCTTTTAAATCTCTCCAGGGATGGTGACTCCACCACTTCTACAGAACACTCCCAAAAAGACTAACCTTCACTATAAGCTAAATAATCCATCAAATAAAAATCTACAGTACTCTCAAGAAGGAGTGGCTTCAACCATTTCCAAAGATTACCACTTGACTAAGTAAGTTGGTAAAATAGAAGTTTAAGCAAAAGGAACTACTTGAATCATTCTTATTTGCTGCTATACTGTCAGACATGAATTCAGTCGTGACTGAGTGAATCATCTGGAAGGGATGCCAAGTCCTGCCTCACTATTTGGAAAAAAAATCTGTTGAAGGAGAACAAAATCTTTGATTACCCAACTAAAATGAATGGTTTAACAAAAAGAAACAGATTATTTGAACTTATTAATAATGATGAAGACACAAATTTCTCTTTTTAATCTCTGTATTAAATCATAACACACATTTGACTACAAGTCTCCTAGTTATATTATCTAATTTTATCTGCATCGTGACTAACTTTTTAAAGTACATAAGAAAATATGAGAATAAAATGTCAAGCCACTGGCTTCACATTTTCCAGTGGCTGTACCAAGACCGATTACTTAAAGATTCATAAAACATATCACTGCTAAAAGACCACCAGTAAGTACACAAAAAAACTAGACTACATCAGCTATCACCCCCAACACCCAAAATACAAATGTCCTAAGCTTCCTAACCACCTTTAGAAAGTCAGATCAAAAACTGCCAGCCTACAAGAACATGTAAATGGTGAGGTGATTTATGCTTAGTAGCTATACGTGGATTTCCAAATGACTGCAACACTCTTACACATTTGCAAATGTAAAATGGTCATGAAACACACACATAGGTATATTTTTCCATTTCTTGATTTTTTTTCCAGATTTCCTATTTTTCAAATTTTAGTAATATTAACATCTTTAGAATATTCCATGAGGGGCAAAATATCCATGCAAGTAGCTTCTACTGAAGTTGTAGAAACTTCTTACTTGAGAATTACAAAGTTCAGCACCAACAAGCAACATTGTTGTAATGTTTATAGTAAGTAACAGCACAGTCACTGCAGCAACCTAATCCGCTCCTCCAGGTCCCTCACATAGATTTCCTGGTCAAATGGTTAGCTGCCACATTTATGAAAAGTTCCACAAGACTTTGAAAAGTTTTCTAACACAAATAGGATGAACAGGGACCCTTCCAACTCAGAATATTCTGTGAATTTTCTGTGAAAATTATTCACAACCTATGAAATATTAAGGACTTGCTATGGAAACAACTACTTGACCTTCTGAACTTCTAACCTCCTATCCAGAAGACAATGGAACAGAAGTAGAGCCAGCATCACCAGTGACAGCCTCTTGGGAGCTGTTACAACAGGTTTAGAATATTTGGGAATCAGCACGCAAAATATCACTTAGAAGACACTGGCCAGACTCATTCATCTGCTTCTTGTGACAGTCAAAATAGCCCAAAGAAAGAGTGATGGAGAATCTCATGTCCCAGCTTTATCTGATCTTCAGCTGAAGATTTTGAGAGGACAATTTTTCTGCCTCCTTGTTTTCTTTGCTCAATAACCACAGTGAGCCTAGCAATTCTATGCTTTTAAAAGGATGCAAAGGACAAAATATGAGTTCTCAGAGAAAGAATAGGAAGAAAAATATTAATCAAACAGGTCCAAACCCAGAAGTTTTGATCAGTTTACCTGGAAATGTTTTAAATCTAAATTCAAAAATAACGAAAGGAATTATCAAACCCTGATGCAAAGTGAGCAATTTAACACTGGAAGCTTTTCAGAAAGTTAATACTGCATAGTCTTTCCAGTTATCTTCTAATTCTTACCGATGCAAACTTGTGTCCAAAGCTTATCCACTCCTTTTGCACCAGAACTTCAAAGCCTTCAATGGTTCTGTAGTAGCTGTCCAGCATGAGCATGGCCAGGGAGGTGAGCTGAGCCGTGCGGTCCCAGCCGTCACTGCAGTGAACCAGCACCGAGCTCCGGCCTGATGACACCTTGTCTGCCACCTGAATGGCTCCTGTCAGAACGAGCTGGCAAGGAGCAACACACACCAAACAAACAACACTGCTTATTTCTGGTCAAATTATAACACTAAGTTGATTTCTTTGCATCTGAATTAATGCTATTTCTATTAAAAGACCTGAAGAGAGCAGTGGAGTTAAGTGGAAAAAATTTTCCAGGAGATCAAGTGAATTTCTTGCATAAAAATAGAGAAACAGATTGGTTCCCTAATCCCTTAGTAAGATCAAATTCATCTCTCAGCAAATGCTTAAAAAATAGGGCAGAAAACAGTAACCTTGATAAACCAAAGAACATAAGCTTCTTTTACAAAGAAAGAGGGGATTTACCATAGGATATAATCTCTTAAAATTCAGAGCTATTTCATTTGACTCCTTTCTTTGAACTAAATTACTGAATTATCTCAGTTGTTGGAAAAATGAGCTTGCACCCTTTTAATATATTTATTTTCCAAATATTAAATTAAGATGAAAATTTTATTAAGTAGGATTCATTACATAATACTCTAATTACTTTTACACAGCTGTACTTAAGGCAAAAGATTCAAAGGTCCACTAGCAAGAACCATGGTGAATTATCAGCTTAAGTGTTTTATTTGTGCTACCAGATGAAAATTGCAGAAGTTACAAATAAATTTATAAAATTTATTTACAAAACCAGAATTCACAAAATAAAGTCACATACACACTGAGAACTAAAATATTTACTAATATGTCACAATGACAGTCAACTGCAGGCCTATATTGCAAGAAACCAAAAAAAAATCAGTTCTCATGTAAAGCAAATCAGACTAAGAATGCATTCTTCTGCCAAACACTCTTAACTTGAGCCAGGCAACAAACATTAAATCTCACCTACTGTTGCTTAGCAATGAATCTCATAACATACTCTAAGATTACTTGGCAAAAAAAAGCCAGCATTCAGGGATCTAGTTAAGTAGTTTGATGCATTTCAAAGTTGAGCAAAGAAAGCAAGTATTATGATATGACAGACTTGGACAAACATTTTTCAAACAATCAAGGAAAAGTTACCTTTATATGTTCTAACCAATGGGTTGATTCCAGACTTGACAACCAGTGTGATTCTTCCACGTTAGGATAAACAATGTCCTTCAGCTTCTTCAAAGATTCCCGCATGACATGAATATTATGAATGTCCAAGAAGAAAAGTTCTGCATTGGGATATGCATCTTCACCTTCGTATCCTCCCCCAGTTGCCTACAAACAAGAGATCTGAAATTAACTTTAGTCATACACACACTCTTCAACAGAGCAAGAATGAATGTCATTTGACATAGAAATAGACAGAAATGATAAAATGTTTGGCCAAATAAATTTAAATTTAAGAGTTCAGTTAAGAATAAGATACCTTTAATTTAGAAATTATGTTCAAGAACCTTAGATTCTGTCTTTAAGAAGTAAATTAGCAATAACATTAAAGTATACTTAAAACTACCTTTTCTAAAACTGAATTTTAGTGCTGAAGACTAAACATATATTTAGATTTAGATTAAGATATTAAAGAGCCATGTAAGAAAAAGGTCTGTTCTGCTGCTGCTCTTTCAAAGCATTTCAACACCAACACTGCAGAGGATATGCCTGGCCACAAAAGGAAGCAGAAAACCCACACATATTTAATGGCACAATGCCACTGATAAAGACTTTTCAAAGATAAGTATGAAATAATTTGGTTTGGAAAAGACTTTAAGATCACTGAATCCAAACATTAAAAATCCAGCAGTGCCAAGCCCACCACTAAACCATGCCCTCAACTGTCACATCTTTTAAATACTTCCAGGGATAGTGATTCAAACACTTCCCTGGACAGCCTTTCCACAAATAACATTTTCCTGGTATCTAATTTTAACCTCCTCTGGTGCAACTTGAGGCTGTTTCCTCTTGTCCCATCACTTATTACTCGGGAGAAGAGATCAACTCCCACCTGGCTACAACCTCCTTTCAGGCAGTTATATAAAGTGATAAGGACCCCCTGAGCCTCCTTCTCTCCAGACTAAACATCATCAGTACCCTCAAGCTCAGAGAGCTGAAAAATTGCAGCATTTCCTGCAGACAGCAAAAACATGCCATGAATTTGGATAAATAAATTTTGCCTTTATACGACATTGCAGCCACCAGCTATACATCAGACAAGAGTCTAAAGCCTTTCCCCATGAGTGCCACCTACACTGCTGTACAGCAGCACAGTATCTCTATTCTGTGCTCTCTATCTTTTTTCTCAGATGTAGGGTTGATATGAGAACTGCCAGGCTATGCAGTTAAAGAAGCAATGAGTGTATTTTTCTCTTTTCTTTGAGTATTATGAAGTCTTCATGAGGAATGATTGTAATTTCAGCATCAGGGCTGCTGCAACTCCTGACTGTCCTGACCTATGTACAAGGAACACAGAAATGCGTGAGCAGCACAGCCCAATATTTTGCTTAGACAAATCTTCACAGCTGTTCACGAAATATTTTCAGTGCTGATCAACACTGATTCACACTTCTTATGTCATTCTCCCACAGATCCTGAAATGTACCCTACTGCTCTGATTGAGCATTTTATATTTAGACATATGAAGAGTTAATTAAAACATGTATATATCAAGTTTTGTCTGTAAGACATTACCTTAAATTTTTCCGCAGTTCTTGGACAAACTCAATTTTTTACCCCATTTGTTTCCAAGATATAACTGACAATCTTTACACAAGGCAAACAAAGATTACATGTTTTGTTCACCCATAAAAATTCAGTGTGCAGAGGATAACGGGATTTGTACAGTCAAATGCAAGCAATTGAAGCAGACCCTCAAAATACAAGCCCCATCAGGTTAAAACAGCCCCTAGGACAGAGTCTCCGAAAGAATGTGTGCTATACACACCAACATAGTAAAAAAGCTTAACAAACTACATTCTGTATTATAGAGAAGACGACTGTACAGGTACAAATACATGTACCTAACTTGCACCGTGCAAGCTACCAGTATTACTGTCCCCTTTGAACTATTACTGTTATTCTTGAAAGCAACTTAAAAAACGTTATACATAAACCTCTAAGATGCAAACAAGTTTTACCATTTCATATTTCTTTCAGCACAAACACTCAACTCGTGTTTGTTTTGTTCCACAAAACTATTCAGAAGCTAGAATTCCTTCTCTCCACATAAGCACACTTATCATTTCACTCAGGTCTCAAACCCTTTTGAGCTCAGCTCTCATGCTCTTTGCTGTGCAGACACACACCTACACCAGTAAGTACTGAAAAGCACATTCCCTTCATTTGTGTTTGAAGTTCCATGACTAAGGGACTATCCCCAGGTGTGGCACATTCTCCTATGACAAAAGCGTTACACTTGTCTCCCACACCACTGCTCCCTAACATGGTCTTTGCATATAAAGATCGAGCACATCCATGTCTACTGTACTCCATGCCAAAAACACCACCGACACAGTGTACTGGCATTATCTGAGTTTGCCTAAATAATCTAATCCTCAACAGAGCTGAGGGGGAAGCAGAGGAGAAATCAATCCACAGGCACACCTTTTCTTCCTGAAAGGTTAGAGGAGATGATTTTTCAAGATCTGTTCCAGATCTGATCCCATTTAGGTTTTGTTCATAGATAACAAAGAAACAGTCACCAATGAAAACACTGTTTCTGTACTTAGCAACTACAAGCGCCTGGGGAAGAACAATAGGTACCAAAGTATCCAAAATCATACACATACTGCTGTTTAGAGTTTATTTATCACTTTCTCTTTATTTGCAGGATGCCAGGATAGGTCTGAAGTAGTCCATGTAATGGTTAGGAAGACCCAAACACAGGATGCCTGTCAGTGGGGTTGGCTTTATGCACACATCCTTTCTAGGATGGAATTTTCCCAGAGGATCTGAAGGTTGTGCAGAGGTGGCCTGTCACCCCAACAGGGGACATACTCTGCAGCCCAGCCTACAGCTACCTCCTAGTGCAGAGTGGAGTCATGCCCAACTTCAGTCCAATGCTAAGATCTTTGCTTGGCTGAGAACGCAGACAGAAGAGCACATCTGGAAATCCACATATGGTCCTGAAACTCTGCTTAGGGATCTACTTTATACACGCATGTCCTTTCATGGCCTTGAGCCTCAGTAGTTGATTATGTGAATTTATCTATATTAAGATTACTACTATTCTCCAAAACCTCCTCACAGAAAACTTCAAAGTAAATCTCCTCCTCATTCCCTTCAAAAATAAGACATTAGAAGCATGTGTTTACCTTGTTTGCAACTGCATTGACATTGGGCCTTGCATCATAGATGGTAAGTTTAGAGATCTGCCTGTTGGCCTCCCTAATGATATCGAGGTATCTTTCATCATCTTTATTCCGCTTGCCACTCATTCCAACCAGGGGCTGACTGCAACGCATGATTACAGCTTGGGTCTCCGGATGAATCCATGAGAGAACCTGGTCACATGGCAAACAGACAGCAGAAGATACTCATTTTACTAAAATACCATAACTTAAAGCTATATTCTTTAGAATACACAGTATGAAAATTAACACCTTTCTTTTTATTTCTTCAAAATAAAATCCCTTGACATCTCAACTGCTTCTGGTACTTAATAATTATCTTCAAAAGAGTTCTCTTACATATTTAATGCTTACCTATATAATCCAATGTATTTTAATGTTTTCCTACAAGTCTTTAATTACACAAATAATCCTGAAAAGTAAACTAGTAACAAACACAGCAATCTCTGCTGAAACTAAAAAAACAAGTCAGGAGAATGAACTCATTGTAGAAATGGTGACTAAGATGCTCCAATTCTACAAGAATAACTTCTCCTTTTTTTTGGATAAGGAAGGGAAGTTGAACCTTTTTGCAGTATCTTGAATGTTTTCTCTTCTCTTTAAAGCACATTTTGTTCCTCAGCCCTCTTTAAAAGAGGAGGCACCGGAGAGAAGCACATGCTGTCTGTGCTGTTTTAAGCCAGAGAGGACTTGCCACAAAAGACAGTGAGCTGCCCAGGAACAAATGCAGCGCCAGAGATTAAAGATAAGCAAGAAACCCAAGAAGTAGGCAAAAAAATGCAAATTCATTGTTGAAAAATATTAACAAACAGTATTCCCACCCACTCGGTAAGTTGTGGGTTACAGGGTGAAAGAAGATCAGAGTTCAAGCAAAAAACCTCCCAAAAATCCAATCCTCAAAAGGTGTTCACTCCTGAGATGAGAAACAAGATCTGCCAGTGGTGCGGGGGGGAGGTGGTGAGAATGAGTGGCTAGTTCTAGACAAGAATTAAATTACTATTATAAATTTCTATTTTAATAAAATTACTATAACCAAGGGAATTACTCTCACTTTTCAGGCATATCAAAAGGCCAGTCATGAATTTCAAGGTGACAGGGATGACACTGCTAGGTTATTAGAACTATATGCACAGGCTATACATTACATATATTCTATACACATTATATATTATACAGATATGTGTGTATATATAGTAAATTTATAATTATAGACCTAGTCTGTCAGTAAATACTGGATCTAATAAATATTTGTCATACTGAGCTGTGCATCTGTTTGAAACTGAGATTCAAGGCAGCTTTCTGTCTAAGATACTGTCTAAGAAACCAGCACATCTTCCAAGTTTGCAAAAGGGAAATACCAGTTAAAATAAGTATTGGGATAGAAATTCGTATTTTCTGTAGTGCTGTAAAGAGCTGATACATAAAAATTCTCTTACCTCATAGATTTTTCATTGCAGAAATGCAAGAAGTCAAATCGGTTTCTTTTATTTTATGGACTAAAAAGCCCAAGAATTCACTAAAGAGACTATAAACGAGATCTTACTTTAGGACAGACCAGTGGAACTTATGTTTAACGTCACATGGTTTGCTTGCAGGACAACATTTGTGATTACTTTTTACAGACATCCAGCAACAGTAAAGGCAGCGTAAGGCTCATTCCTCATCAAGGAAAACTGCACTGCTGGCCATTGTTACTGGGCAAGTCAAGTTAAAAATCAGTGAAGCTGCCATGGGTGATTGTTATTGGGAAAGAATGGAAATGTGGTTTGACCAAGACCTGTTTCAAGCAATGAAAACCACCAGCTAATCAAAACTATAACTACTAAAAAAAAAAAAAAAAAAGCATCCTCTGCATTGCATTCAGCAAGAAGCTGTTTGGATGCAACTTAGACTTAGCTACATCATCAGGCAAGTTCCATCACCTAATACTCACCGGGATTCTATTTCGGGACCTAAAGGCAGCAACTTTCTTGAGATCATCATCTGTTGCATTGTATGGCACGACCAAGAGTGATGGGTATGTGTCACACAGCCCGTAATGCTCATTAATGAAAGTCACTCGCCACCGTTCATTAGGCAGCCCCTAAAATAATAACATGAAGTTATTCAATGTATTTTTGGCTGAACAAGTAATAATTCTGCTCCTGAATTTTACACGATATTATGGCCACATGGCAACAATTTAAGTACCATTTCAAAGCAACAGAAGCACAAAAGATTACAAGACTACACAAACCAGCTCATTGCAGATGGATTCACAGTCTTAAATAGCTGAAGAGCACAAAATTCTAGCCTTAGTAAGTTTCAAAACAATGACTGAAACTAGGAGAAGTATTTCTTTAACTGTGGGATGAGGAAAGAAAATTACCTTCTCTCCTTCCCCAAAGCTTTGCTTTTCCACCGTTCCTGGTGAAGAGAGACTGTGAGGAAGTCTCACTATAACCTTTCTTCCCTGTAGCCTGATACTACCACCATGTTAAAAGTAAGATTCAGGGTAACTTTCTTATTGAGAAAGAACAACTCCTAGTCGGACTTAGCCCAGTAAGGCATTTCCAGGAGACATAAGTCCACACACACACAGTGGGGTTTGTGTGGGTGTTTGTATTTTACCTTTTTTGGGCCTCAGGCTTCTAAACCATGAACAAAAAAAAAACTATGGAGGCTAAAAAAAATTAAGGAAGTTCTCATTCTTTGCTATTTAATTTTTTTTAATGTCTTACTTCAATTATCTATCAGACATTTAAAATGAAATATCATCCTCTTTCATTGACATTTTCCCAAGATCACATAAAGAGCAAGGAAGAACACTGATAGATATCCAGAATTTCTGTAAAGCAATGCTGTTTCTAAAACAAGCTTCTTTTTTTCTCCCCACTTCATTTTGGGAAGAAGAACAAATGCAGTTTATGTTTAGGACACTATAGTTACATATTTGGCACGTTCTCCCCACCTGTGCTCACTTAGCAGTGGCACATTGTAAGAGGCATCAATAACTTCCTCCCAAGAGCAAAGACCACCTTCCTGTGGCATTCCTGGGGTTTTTTTAAAGGCTCTAGTGTTTTATTTCCTGTCTTTACTTTTCTTCATGTTGAAATTTCATCCTCTCCCAACAGCTGATAAAAGAAGTATACAAACAGTAATTCCTCTATGCAAGTTGAAGATGTGAAAGCACCAGACAACAGCAACTGTAAGTAACTCACCTGTCTCCTGTATTCAGACATCGGGTTGTACACCATCCATCCATTTTCAGAAAACTTTTCCTCATTTACAAAAGCAAAAAAAAGCTGTAAGATATAAAAGAAGCTTATTACACCAAACTCTAACTGCAAATGGCAAACATGAGGGCTCATCATCAGTTATACCCTAATGCTCGCTATAAAATAGGACTGATTGCTCCATGCCAGCCCCAATCTCTCCATTTATATCTGGTATGTCCAAGACTATGAAGCAAAGAGCAACAAGTAAAAAAAATATAGACCTGGTAATGAAAAAAATGAAAATATGACAACAGTTACTAGGTAACAAAAAGAATAGAAATTATAAAGGTTAATTGGTTGGATTTTTTCTTTTTACTGCCAGGAGGTTGAAATGTTTTAGAATGGTTTCTTTCACATAATCACTAAATAAACTACTGTCTTCTCAGCAAATTTCTCCAATAGGCACAGCTTCAATTACAACATACAACATCAGATGCTAAATTCAAAGAGGAAAAAGGTTTTAATTGTTATCCATTGCCATCACGAAGCAGATGCCTTTCTGCATCCCCTCCCCAACCGATACTATAAGAAATCCCAATTACTGTAAAGCTCCATGAAAGTGAAAAAGCTGCCATTGAAAATGAAATGGTTAGCAGCTTACATTACTTACTTCTTGCTTTGCTCCTTGCTCTCACAAATCATTTATATAGCACAGCAGCCTTATTGAGCATTCCAGTATGTTCCTCATACCTTTTATCTTTCTTCTCTTTCCAACAAATTCCAAGTGGGCTCTATTACCTAATTAACCCCCTTCTCCTCCCTTGGTTTGTTTCCATAGTTTTGGATGAAAACAAAAGTGATGTTTATGCTAAGAATCTTCCACATTGAGAAAACTAATTTTGGTGGTCTACAAACTCTTCAGATACCAAAAGGAGCACAAAACAAAATTGTTTCAAATAAAAAAACCAAAAACAAACAAAAAAAAAAACCCCACCAAAACAAACAAACAAAAGAAACACACAGAAGAGAATGTGCTGTCCTGAGCTAACTAAGCGACAACTTACAGAGCAGAAACATCTAGAGCTCATCATAGCTCATCTGTAAAGAAACAACTGAAAGTCTCCTAGCTGTCAAAAAAGATTAAAAGGAGAAACTGAATGCTAAACAGAACATCCCACACATGCAGAAAACCCAGTAAGCAAGAAAAAAAACCACCCCCATGGAGGAGGTTTTGAATCTGAGGAAGGCTCCAGGCAATTCTGCTCAGCCCAATACGTTACACTGCTTTTAACACTGAACAGCTAATATCAAAACACAAAATTGAATCCCCCACAAAAGGAGAAGATATTTCCTCATGTAGTTCAAGTAAACAAATACTTCCAAAGGATGCTACTGCTCACTCAAAATGCTTTATCTCACTAGTTTTACAAACCAGAATTCTAAATTAGATCACTATTTTAGAGCAAGTGCACTCACTGGCAAGTTTGCAGAAGTAAACAATGCATTCCCTGGCTTTATTTTCTGAATGTCTTTACCATTTTTAAAGGGGTAGACCTTCAGTGCAAGTAACCATTACAAATTCTTTTGACTAAGTAAACTACTATTAAGTGGTATAGAGGGAGAGATGAAGAGATGGATATCTACTCTACCAGAAAAAAACCCTATTCCATTAAAAGTAGAAGCAGGTATAAAAAGTTATTAAAAAACCTGAAAAAGGTTGTTTAATTGTAAACAAGGAATACAGCAAAATGGGAATAACACTATCTGAAGCAGTAGATGCAACTGATTTGCTGAACTATTAATAAACAGCTACACACAAGAACCATCCCCTTCTCACAAAGAAATTTGCTATACCCAAAGAGTAACTATGTTAAGAATTCACCAAGGACACAGAAGCAAAGGAGAATCTTAGAACAATAGGAAACAGAAACACTGGAATCCTAACAGGTCACTTAGAAGATGCATTAAAGGCAGGAATAAGTCTTTTATTTAAGCTCCTACTTACTGCAAGTTTCCACATGAGAAACAGCACACTGTGACAGCTGTTGCACAGAACATGTTTTTATTGACAAAAATTAAGAAAGGTGTTATTACAAAATAAAAATAAATGGCAGCTATGCTGCTCATGCCACCCACAAAAAAAAATCCACAAGACATCAGAAGGAAAAGTGCATTTTGTTTTCATCCTTTACAAACCATTAAAGCATTAAAGTGTTACATTTATTATGCATGAGGGGATGGATTGAATCTTTTCTGAAAGAACAATGTCCTACTCTTTACAGCATGATTCATTTAAAATGCTTGGCTACAGCAGCTTTACCACATTTGCTACAAAAGCTTACAGTCACAGAGCCCTTAACTATTTAAGTGGACAATTATGCTTCATCAGTTTTGTTGATATTTCAGGTAGTACAAATTCTTCCTATGTTGCTCAATAGAAAGAAATTTATCAGTAGAATAGATCAAAATTGAGCAAAAACCTCAAGTCTAACAAATCACAGAACACTACAAAGAATGAAAAGGCATATGGAGAAAAATTTGGACTCAGATTTTTACGTGAACAATTCAGAGAAAATTCCTGAATTTTACTACACAAGAATAGTATTTAAAAATTACCAATCTCTAAAATCCTGAAGATTAAAAATTGTTTTTCTTCTGCAAGCATTAACTAAATTATATCAAAACGTTTATACACACACATTTGGATGTGCACCATCGTGTACAGACTGCACAGATAATCTGCTGACTACTGAAATTCTTACTCACTGTACCAAAAGATTAAAGATCTGAATTCCATTCCCACCACCTCCAATAGCTTCGCAGACAAGACTGAAACTCTGTGAAGATGGCCTGAGTCTTAGTTCAGTCTAACTGCTGGAGTCTGAAATACAGTAACATCCCCACTCTACCTCAGGCCCACTTCTCCCAACAAAATACACAATTATTGCTGTGTTATGTTGCCATTAAAACAGAGTAGGAGACACACAAATGCAATACAATTATACTGAATTCATATAGGTCTATTTAATTTCTAACTACAGTTTACCTTACTCAACTGTAACAAGCAACCCACATCTATAACCATTTTATTGTAAGAATCATATACTTAACGAAAGATAGAGGCTTGGACATAGTTATATTTTATGATCTGTCAGTACTTATTTTAACACGTTTGGACATTACTTCTTTTTGTTTGAAACAAAATGTGACAGTGCAGCAAGCAAATGGAATAAACAGGAAGGAGAAATGCCATTCACAATATAACACTCATAGGTTCGCTTTATCACTTGATGTAAGATTTGAGAGGCGCTGTCTTAGTAAAATTACACGGCTTAGCTTTTTGTGGATACAGAACCCATCCTATTAGAGCCTCTCATACACACATACTTGCACGTGGGGATGAAAGCACCAAGGTCACACCACTGCCCGCAGGTACTGAGTACAGATCAGCTGGGTGTGTATCCATAGCCTTCAGATGCAGAAGGCAGAAGAAGGTCGGAGAAGAACCACATGAGCACCTCTCGGAATTGTATGGTGCCACAAGGTGGAAAAGCCCTGTCAGCCTCTCTCAGTGCACCATTTTCCACACAGGAAAGTCTTGCAAATACCAGAATAAAAGGAGGTTGGCCAGTACTATGCCTTCTTCACATATCTTCCCTTCAAATCTAGCACATCCCTGCTAGATCCTCCTTCTCCCCAAACAATACTTTAGGTACTCAGAGTCTCCACTCTGAACCCCACTCATTTTTTCTTCCCTCCACACACACAATTCCATTCCTTTCTGTCATTGTTAATCCTGCCTCTCCAACAAAAAGCCCTTCTCTGCATCTCCTGCTGCACTCAGCCTATCTTCCCAGGAATCAAATCATCTGCAGCTTCATCAGATGTGTCCAGATTTGAGTGGAAATTAAAAAAAAAATATATATATATAAAACCTACATAAGAGATATTCAAGTTCAGAAGAATATTGCAGTAAAATAAAAGTGTATTTCATTGATTTTTTGAGATCATTAATAGGTTTTTCAAAACCAAGAACATATAATCAAAAAGCAGAACTATGGTTTGCACAGATGGACCTGAGACAATGCCACATGAGTTTGGCTGGATACTAAGGATAAGTTTCAGACAGACTACCTGCTCAACACATCAGTGTTTCAGGCAGCAAGCCTGAGCTGGCATCCCTCCTCTCAGCATTGAGACTGGCTGGGTAAAAGCTACTCAAATAAAACACAGATTTACCTCAAGTTATACTGATTATTTATCTTACATCTTGAGTGCAAGGCAGGATAATCTGCAGTCACTTCCAATGCACTGATCATATCTGTTCTAAGTTTGATGGAGATTAATACTACACATCTGATGAAAGTCCATCTACTCTGATTAATCTATCAACTAATTAAAAATCAGTTTCAAATTCTTTTCAGCTACCACAGGAAACAGAAAGAAGAAATCAAAGAAAACACTAAACAAGTAAGAAATCAACAAAGTGTAGTAAATCACTACTCAGAACACTTTTTGGGTACAAAGTTTGTTACTTGTCAATACCTGTAGTTGGCAAAACCAAGCAAGACTCACCATCCATCAGCTAAGATTTTTCTAAAACCAAATTAAAGCTGCTGCACAAAATGGAAGCAGGGATTTCAGTGCAGATCCACAGTCTAAAGGCAGATGACTACTGCTTCACTTGAACCAGAAGACTAGTACAGTTAAAAAAAAATCTTTCAAATCTTGTAACATTTTTAGTAAACTACTTTTTGCTTCACTGTGCAAATAATTGTTTACTTCCTTGTAGGTGTTAACCCACAATTTCAATACAGTCTCTATTTTTAAGCCTCCTACAGACAGAGTGCTTGTCTTTAGCATTCAATTTCTCCTTCTGATTTAGTACACAAAAATAATATGCAATACATTGGTTGTTCAAAGCACAACACAGTTCTGTGAGGTAAAGGAGAAAGCATCTACAATCTGACTATTACAGTTTAGCAAGCAGTCTATTTAGCAGTATTAATGCAATGTAAATATATAAATCTCAGTATAAATACAACAGCTACATATTTACTCTTTATGGAATCATAGCACATGTTGTACATGAACATATAGTGTAGACACCATTTATTAAATATTTAACCAATCTTTATGCATTGCAAAAGAAGAAAGCAGCAAAACTAGAACAAGAAGGTGCCACACACCTGTGAAGAAAATCAATTGCATTTTCTATTTCTAACTCATGGATGTATACTTTTTACATATTATAAATTACTAAGTTTTTACTCACTGTAAAGGCTGACAGTTTCTCAGTGTATTTGAAAATAAATATATCATTATCTTTACCATTATTAATGGCATTTTGTATGCCATTACTACAACCTAGCCAGTTACATCTTACCTGTTCATCTAAAAACAGAAGTCAGACACTGTAGTGCTGGTATACTGCCCTCTGCTCCTTTGTGAACATGGTCACCTCACACCACTGCTGCCCTGGTTCTGATGTGTGATAGGGAATGAAGTCCCAAGTCAAGGGGTTTTTTGCAAATTCAGGTGCTCTGACAGACAGGCAGAGCCTTCACCAGCCTTGCTCCATCTGAAGTCATCTTTGCAGATCCAACAGCAACACTGGCATGAGCCAACCCTCAGACATTTTAAATGACCAGGATAAACAGTGACATCAGGAGCAGTTCAAGTCAGCCAGCATAGCCACCAGAGTCTCATCAAAATGTGCATTCCCACAGACCTACTGAGGGTTAGGAATAAACACAGATTGTACAGATACCATGGTGCTGAACAATCTTGTAAAAATGATGATGTGTAGTTTCATGGTAAGATCAGGAACTGAAGCAGCTGCTATGCAGAAGCTAAACTAGAGAGAGCAAATATATTTTATCTTTTGTGGTGTACTAAAACATCTCATTTGGGGGAGTTTGGCTATTTTGGTTTTACTTTTTCAAACATTAAAAAAAACCGCTTTCGGCAACAATTTTCTTTCAATTAGCACAAGTTTGCAAATGCAACAGAGGATTAGCAACAGCAGGTGCTTGCTCCCCATCAACTATGTTGTCAGTCAGATGAGCTGATTTCACTTTATGTTACTGATTCAAGGATATCTGAATCCAACGTATACTCAAACTGGAGACAAACAAAAACTACCTTCTGGAAGTAGGCACCAAGGACAATGCTGAGGCACAGAGGAGCAATTGTGAACAGGCCTGTGATTTATAATAGGCTCTCAAACAATACTGTTGGGATGGTGATGGAAACAAATCTTGAAAACAGTAAGAACACTCCATTCATAAATCATCTTTTGGGTTTTATTTGCCATCCATTTGTATGAGAATGGTACAGCAGAAAGAAAACAGAAGTAAGGCATCTCTACCAGTTCCTGTTTAGGATGACCTCTTAGGATATAGTACCACTGCAGATGAAAATCAATCAAATAAAAATCTGATAGAAAATACAAAAATACAGAAAAATCAGGACAGTAAAGCTTCAGAACTTAATTATCCTGATGATATCTTCTTTCCACTGCAAAGCTGCACAAGCATCAGTGTTGCTGAACCAGTTAAACATCAAGGATGCAGTTCTGCAAGATGGTCTGAGCAAAACTAACATTTTACTATTGCTAAAAACAAGACATCTCCCTCTTTTCACTCCTGCCTTCTACCTGCTCCACTCACATGTCCACTCTTGCACTGGTTCTGATGCATACTGATTTCAAACCAGGTCTCCCCAGATTATTCAAAGCAGCACAAGACTAATCAGAATATTTTGTGCTGGATAAGTGAGTTATGCTGGCTTAGCGATTATACAAATATCAGTTTGGTATTAGAAGAATAATCAACCACATGACTGAAAAGTAGAGAGGAGACCAGAGAAGAACAAGAGCTCAGCATTTGAGTGTCAGAGGCCTTCCATCTCTACCCAGCTGTCAAGGGGAATTACAGCACATTCTTTGTAGAACATCTCCCTGAGTGAGATGGCTACATGACCAGAGTGTTAAAAAGCACTCCAAGGGGAAGGCAGGCGTGTACAGTCCCAACATACTGCTACATTCACACAGTGAAATCTTGTTCTAAACCAGACGCTGAAAGGAGCAGTGCCATCATCCCTCCTGATTCACATCCACCCAGAGATGCTTTGACTCCACTCTCACTTTGGACTAACAAGACACGAAATAACTCAAAGTAAAGCTTTTATTTTTATCTCCTTGCTAACTTTAGTTTCTTTAGTTTCGTATCTGGTTCATCATGCAGCCTCAAACTCATGCAGTAAAAAAGCAAGGCAGGAATGGAAAACCAGGCAGAAACACCTTTGGCAGGATCAGTTTAAACTGCCAAAATACAATAAAAGCACACAAAAAAAAAAATCACACACTTGTTTAGCTCATGTTAAAGTTAAGGGCTCATCCACACTGTGACATTAGAAAATAAGGGCAGCTGCAACCTTCAGATGTAACACAGGCTCGCTTTATTTCCCTCCAAAGTAAAACTGATTTCTAACGGGTATACCCTGCTTCAGACATAGTTATGAGACAAATTAGAACCACTCTCCCTCCACGTTGTCACTGTCTCCCCAGTGAGACTTCTTTGCTTTACTGAATCCAAGGGCCAAAGTACTACTGCCCCAACCAAGACTTTTGTTATTAAGCTTAACTTCTGTTGGCAAGTGGCCTTCACACAAGCCATATAATGATGAACTTTATTAGGTTCAACAGGTCCAGCACGAAGTGGACAATAAAGCAGGAAATAAAGGAGGAAGTGGACAATTCCACACATTACTCACTGCCATCATTAGACAGGATCTCTGGGTCTTTTTGGATGATGAACCTAATAGAAGTCCACATCTCATCACCAAGGTATTCACCCCCATATAGTTGGATTATCCCATAAGGCACTCTGCTAAGTCAGTTAGAATTTCTTTTGCCCATATTCACTACATACAATCCTCAAAAAACCCCCCAACTCTTCAGCTCGATAATGTGGATGAGATTGCATGGGCATGATGGAACCTAAAATACAGGAAATATTCAACAATACACTTGACTGTGCTCTGGGTAACCCAGTCTAAAACCCTCTTGCTACAGAACCCCATGATGTATAGAAGACAGTTTTGACCTGAACCTCTCCATAACTTGGTATTTCCGCATACAGCTTCTTGTTTTCCATTATACTTTACGGTTCACATATCCTGTCATGCTTTCAATCATTCTCTATTTTAAAATGGATAAAATGGCAACAGTAGAATTAGATATATTCACTTCTTTAACAACCATCTTCTCTGTGAATACAACTCCTCACACCTACCTAAATGTAAAAATCTCTCTCATTTCTGAAGGCCTGTTTGTTAACAATACAAAATAATCTAAGCAAAAGCATTTCTTTTCCCTTATGCTTTCACTCCGCAGTTTGTATATAGAAAAGTTTTAAAAAACTAAATGTTTATAGAGTCCAGCTCATTGACTGACACATACATTCCTGGAAAGAAGTAAGATTTTTGCTGCAACAATTCTTTGAACAAAGTTCTTAATATTCAGAGCAGAACTTTCCAATACTTTGTGAACAGAGCTCTTGTACAATAATCCTAAATTAAAGCACACCAATAAAGTGTAAATTGAGTATTACAATGGACAAAATAAACCATTTACCAAAAAGATGTTAAATGACTCACACTAAGAACAGTACACAGACTTCAAAAAAAGGGAAGATAATGATTAGCTTGCATCATTGTTGCTCAATTCCTTCCATAAGATGCCTTTTTTAACTGAAACAAATCCGTGCAAATTCATAAATGCATTCCTGTTGTATTTTTCATTAGTTTGATCAATAAAACAAGTGTTGCCTTACCATATCTTCTTCTCCTGAAGTAAAACCCTTAGTGATTCATACTTAACACTGCCTTGGAGACTGCTTGATTAATTAATGTTTTCAATAAATCAATTAAGGCATGTATTCCCTATATTCCTATATTAGGGAGGACAACTTGCAGTTTCTAAGCAATGAAATCTGTATGGAGCAGAGGTGCTCAGTAGTGTATCTGGAGTACATCCATAATTTTACAAAACATATAGATTTAAGTGTTGCAAATATACAAAACAAAAGCTGCTGTTTAGTTTATGCTGACACCAGATTCTGCGGTTATACTTTTTAAGCAGCCATGATATAGCCATTACTAGGTCAAATAGGTAAAGTTAATTGGCAAGAACGCTGCATTAATACAATTCATCAATAGAAACTATGTAACTTACCGAGTTATGTGACTGAGGAAAAGCATATTTTGTGAGGACTTCAAATATATCTCTTCTACTGTGCCCTTCTTGCTTTAATGCAAACCGTAAATTCCTCATATCCTAAAACAAAGCCATTATCTGTTAGGTGAACCAAAGTTGTAAGATGTTTCTCTCTGTACAAGTGCTATATTATACACTAAACATGATGTAGAATCTCATTGTAACACACCTCAAACCCTTATGGATGTTCAGTTTTATTTCTTGTCTCATAAAATAAAAGAGGGTGTAAGAATTGTACAAACAAAGCAGTACCATACTCTGTGCGCTGCAAACAGCACTTTGGCATGAAGCCATCAGAAACGGCTCTATTTGATTCACTAAAAAAGTCTCACGAGCTATTGAAAGTTTGCAGGATGGGAATTACTCTGTTTTCAAAAGAAAGATTTGCCAATAGTTTGTATAGAATATATTATTCCTATGTTCTCATCACTGGTGTCAGAAAAAGTAATCTGCACATTAACTGCTAAGAATCAAATGTGCATACACTGAATAACGAACCTAGTAAAGGACCCCGAATTATCCACTGGAAACTCCCCTATGACCATAGTTTTCCATGGTGACAATTTTTATGTAAAAAATATCTATAGTCTTACAAAACATTTCACTGGCTTTATAGTTTACAAATACCCTGTTTGAGGTATTCTTCAAAGATATCAGAATTATTAAAAATATTCCTTTTAGAACAAATGAAATAACAAAGTGGTGCAGGAATAATGCCCTAAAATACAATTGATGTGCAAAACCATGTCAATTAGTGATTTGGAAAGCAAGACCATCCCTCTCCTTGTGTGCAGGGAAGATAGTTAAACAGCCCTTTATACAAAAAGTATTGTCCTGTCAAGTTTCAAAAAGCTCTTTTGAAATTCATCCATAAGCATGTATATTTCCCTTCCTGTAAAAAGGTAGTCAGTGAGAAAAAAAGCCCTCTAGATTTAATTTTCTACTGAATTATTGGAAAATCTTACTTTACAGGTTATATCTAATCCATAAGAGTTCTCTCCTCTGCTTGAAGCTCCTCCCATTTTTTCAATCCTTGAAATTACGCCTAATGGAACATTCAATATTACAACTGGATCCTGCAAGAAAAGTTTGAGTAAGGAAAAGATTAATGTTAAAAGAAGACCCAAGCAAAATGTTGTTATGCATTCCAGAATAGAAAGCAGACATGCAATAAATACAGAAACAAAAGCATGTTTCTGCCTTTGAGTCTCCTTCGCCAGCATGTTATGAAGTCCGTACAGTCACTCTACAGCCTTTAGCATCATCCATGCTACAAAAATATTTCATGCCTTATTCAGCATGCAGGGAAAACAGTTGCAACACCCTAAGAGATGCCTTCTGCTACATACTGACTGCCCCTGCTTGCTAATACTGCTTTATTGATATACAGCATAAAGCAGAACTAAATGAAAAAGACATTACTATAACAATTAGCTACAGCCAGAAAGACCTTAGTTCAATAGCCCCAAATCCTTATCTAAAAAAAAAAAAAAAAAAGACATATTATGAAAGAGATCACAAGTACATTTTACTCTCCTCCATGTCACTGCTTATCAAACACATTATCGCTCCCTTCGCCCACATAAGGTTCTACTGATCAAAGTATTTTTCTTTTTAACAGCAAGAACAATCAAAGACTAGGTTTACTGACAGCCATTTTTAAGAACTATTGCATATCATTAGTTGCTGCCCTTGGTCTATCACAGATTAAGTGTAAAGGGAACAGCTACATAAAAAAAGCTCTGACAGACAAAAGATAAAGGTATCAGTTCAGTGTAAGTGATTAAACTGCAGTTTTACCAGGCAAAAATCACACTTTTACAACACATTTATCTTTAAAGAATTCATATTTTTATACAGATTTCTCAGTGGCACAAAGGCAGTTACTTTTTAGTCATTACAGAATTAAAATATGGTTCTTAAAAACATTACAGGCCATTTCAAGCAAAAAGCCTCCCATGCAATTCCACAAGCATATGTGTGCCAAAACCAAAACAGATGAACTGGCCAAAAAAGAACACAAAGGCAGTGGGGGTGGACGGAAGAGAGTTTAAAGCCAACTCATCCCATGAAGCAATTGTGGCACTTTACTCACATTTTCCACACTTCTTAGGTACAGCCTGTAGTTCGTGATGTACACTCTTCCTTTAACAGGACCATTAAATGGACACATATAAATAACATCCTTATCTGTAAGAAATGTAGTATTTCTTAAAAGATTGTGAAAAGACAAAATGAGAGCTAAGGACAGCATCGCTTAAGCAGTAGTAAAAGAAAATGAGAGCTGTACTCAGAGGTGAATGAATTTTGAAAGTAATACATCTGAGTTTTATCTACTTGAATTATTAAGAAAATGTGAAAGACTTGTATACTAAACTTGTCCAAATGAATTGCACAGATTTCAGTAGCCTTCCTTTGTTATATTTGTGTTTTCTTTCTCAGCACTACACAGAAGAGGGCAGGACATAGAACAGGGAATACTGTTATTACTGTACCATAGTCTATTCACCATACCAGAACAAATACATTCTTTATACTATTACATCATTCTGTGAACAATTCTCTACTGAAGTAGTAGTTCAAGTTGTAGAGTGTTCAGGGAACTCACCATGCTGCAGAGAAATATTACATCTCAATTTGAGGCAATCAAACAGAGCAGGGCCATCAGTAGTGTTTCAGCAAGGACAGTAACAGAACAAATACTACCACATACTACTCAGAAAGATTTCAGTGAAGCAATGCAAGCAGAATCACAGAATTGTTAAGGCTAGAAAAGATATCTCAAGATCATTGAGTCCAACCATGACGTTAACGACTTCCATTTATTTCTTCCTATCTGCTCACTTCTTTAGTCCAATCTGTTTATTTGCCTTCCTCAAAAAGTGCCCTATTCCAGTGCAGTGCCTCAAAGCATAGACAATTTCCATAAGGACAATGCCATACATCCATCTTAGTCCCACACCCTCTCCCTCACACCTTCTTCATTAAAAACAAAACTACTTCCTCTGAATCACCACTTTGCTTTCAACTGAGCCAATATTGTTTACAAATCCACCCAACAAATCTGGGCGTAGGGTAGGAGAAGATGCACAAGACAGACTCCAACAAAGACTTCCATTTCAGGAAGAGCCTCCATCAAAAAAAGAAAACTACACAGTACATTAGTCTCCCTCATGCTACAGCATTTCTGTATGTAAAGGCCAAAAAGAACAGAGAAGCCCTGTTCATGCCGTCTTGTGTCAAGGAAGTATAAGATGGTACTATGGGAATTCACATTCAAGCTTAGATTCCACATTACTCTACAAGGTACCAATGCATAGTGTGTGGAACATAGAATTCTCTTTATTTCAGAAAGCTTAGAGGAGCTCTCATCCATGTAAGTAGCATTCAACATGTGCAACTTAATCTGTAGATACAATTAGGACACAACTTGCAATTTGTTTCTATGGGAAGATCTGCCAAATATAGAAACCAATATTTTAAACAATTAAAATTGTGGTAAGTGATAGAAAGAATCTTTCACAATTTCTTTGAAAACTTCATGGCATTTCAGCATGCCTTACCTTTGCCCCAGCCCAAACCAGTTCAAATTACAAAATAATTCAATAAGATACAAGTGTCTGCCAGAATGCTGAACATCACTGCATCAGGCAGCTATCGAGCATCATACCTGTAACCCTGGTCTCTCCTGGCAAACGAGGTATTTCTTCATTTTGTTCCCAGTTAGTTCCATCTTTCAGAGTCTAAAGAAGAGAAGCACAACAGGACATCAGAGTTTATTTACAATTTCAAGTTCCAGAATAAAAATAAAAATAACCAAACTTAAAGGTAATTCCTGCATGGGAAAAAACAGGTCTTGCCAAAGTAGAAATTCACAGATTGAACCAAAACTACACAACCCTATCTTAAAATGCAACTATGAAACATTTAAAGGTTGAACACATCTGAAACAAACATGTTTTAATCTTTCTCCTAAAAGGATAGTTGGCTATTTGTATTAAATTGGAATTAAATCTCCATACTCTAAGTTCTCTAAAAGCTGTGTGTATTTAATTTTCCAAGTACATTGGTCTTGGAAGAAAAAGCAACTGAAATTACTCAAGCAATGGACTCACAACTATCATACACAATCTACTCATTTCTGACTTTCTCAAATTCAGTAGTTTGTGTGTTCTTCTGCACTCGAGTTACATTTTCAGCTGCATAACATAAAAAAGCAAAGGGGCATGACTTTAGATAGTTTTAATGTATTTCCCATTCTAGATAAACACCTTAAAACTGAGCCAGACAAACGTAACAAGGTATAACTTAGCAATTGCAATACAGAATCTATGGCAACAAAGTGCCAAAAATTTTCAAGAATGCCACAGAATATCTCAAGGTAGAAAGCAAGGATAAGAGTAAGTACATTAGAACTGATTTTAAGGAGCTTCTCATTAGCTATGATGGAGAATACTTTGCCCATCCACTCGAAAAAGTATTTAAATCATCTCAGTTAACTGCATTACAATTATAGCAATAAATATAAATATATACATTCAAAAAGCCATTTAAATACTTATTTTTCTAACCAAATATGCAAGACAATGCTCTCTGGGAACTCTGATGTAAAAAAACAAAAACATGAAAAAAGTTACACTTACCCATTTACTTGAGGAGCTCTCCAAGGAGTTTGAATTATATTTAGGTGTTGATGATGAGGCCATGCTGGGTATCTGACAAGTAAACACAAATTGGAGACTTAAACTTCCTCCTGAGCTACAAGACTATTCCCAGGAGAGATTTTAGACTTTTGAGGTCTACAGGTAGACATCAAGACCTTAAAAGAATGTTTTGCAAGATACTAGTAATTCAAAAAATTACACAATCCCTCATAATTGAAGGTTACTATTCAAAAACATCCAAATTTAACAAGAAATTCATTACTAGCTTTGCAATTTGGTCCTATTATAAGGAATATTCTGACTCAAGCTCTAGAATGGAACTCAGACGTTGGAATACAAGTATTAGTTCAATAAACAGACATTAGAGTACTTATTTTAAGTCACTGTATACACATATTATGAAATGCTTCCTACTTGGAATATTATTGCACGCCTCTTGAAGTCACAAACGTGTCAATACACTCATGTGGTCCAAGTTTAAAAAACATAACAAGAAAAAGCAGGACTTCCACTTCTCTGTTTAAAACAATCCCCCATTTCCTAACTGAAGCTTCAGTTAGTACACCAAAAGAATGAGTGTCCAGCCTTCTGGTCTGAACAACCTTCATGTATTTAAAGGAAAAGGATTTTCTTTATTTTTAAAATGTCATTAATTAAAGACAGAATCTTGTGTGATAGAGGATTCACTATCTTATTTTCCCAACATTGCACAAGGGATTTCTAGAACCAACACTGGGAAAACACTTCACTTTCACTACTCACACACCCTTCATCAACCAATCTGACATCTCACAGCAGTCTTGAAGAGATTGTTTGTTTGTTTGTGGGGGGGAGGGAGGGAAAGACAATTACAGACTACACAATCTTTGTTTCTATTGCACAAATTTGTAGTCTTTAAAAAGCACTGTCTCTCCTCTCTCAACACTGGAAAGTTTGGCCAGATATCTACACCATGAAAAGCAGCCCATGCGTAACAGTGTGCTGACAGTGACACTGTAACAGTACTGTGACAGCGACACATTAAACTGCAAGAGGAAAGATGCTCTGACATCACTTCAACAGTACACGAATGTGTCTGTTCAGGAATAAAATAGAAAACCACACTCTGAAGCTCTACAGGGCTGTTACCCAAGTCCTTCATTCTCAATAAGAACACAGGAAACTTGACATTGTGTTTAAAACTGCAGTATTCAGTGATATAGCTTATCAGTAAAAAATCACATCCCTACACAAGAAAAAAAAATTAAAAAGAAATATACATTCAGTTGGAAAATTGAAGAAAAAAAAAGCGCTCTTGAATGTCATAGAGCCTGTGTGACCCTGCACAGAGGTTACTACCTCTCTTCTTCGTATCCAGCTATCTTAACTTTCTCCAAACACTGAAATGGACCCTGAACTACTTTTAGTGCAAGGCCAAGAACTTCAATGAAAAGCTACTAGCAATCAAAATTAAATCGTTACCCTTTCAAACTAGCCTTCACAGAAATACTGTTGCAACACTGGAACCTAATATTTTGACCACAGAATACTAAGAGAAGCTTTTTTCACAACTCTTCTTTCCTTGCAATATCTTACATACTATAAACTTAAGGTGGATTCAACTTTTGCTATGTTGCTACGCCAACTTGTCAACGTCCAATACTTGTTCAGATAGGATTCTTCAATTTACAAAAGTTTAAGATTTTATAAAGGTAAAAGGCATATTTACTCAGAAGGCTGTTTTAAAAATGTTTCCATATGAAGTGTCATTTTTTTCATATTTTAAGTGAGAAATGCCAGGTGAGACAAAGGCACAGCAGCTCCAGGTTTTCTATGTCAGCAGAGACTAAGTAACTGGAGCTCACGTAAATTTAAATTAAGGCTGCACCAACCACAACAGACAAGAGAGCACAAACAAGCCCTAGAAAAGTGACTTTTAAAGGATGTGACAACTCTGAATAGATCTGCGCTGCAAAATGGAAATTATGACTACAGCCAGTACCAGCACACGTGAGCTGGCTGTTGATCTTGCGGCCACAGCTACTCAAGCGGTGAAGCCACATGAAGAGCTCAGCAGAGGCCACAGGAGCCCACCCAGGACCCTGGACACTCACCTCAGAGCCTGCCCGCTGCCAAAGCTCAGAAAAACAAAAGCTTGTCTGGAGACTCCTTATGTTTTCCAATCACAGTGCACTCCTGCTGCTCACACAGGGAACAGCACCAAGTCTTTCAAAAGCTTTCTTTTTGTTTCTTTGCTTTCTGTATTATTTCCTTCCTTTACAGCACATTCACTAAGTTTGGGCTGAACTGTAGCATTAGATGAGGTGAGTTAAGATTCTGAAATAATCCAGAACACTGACTATAATACACACTGAGATGTAGAAAAGTTAAAAGAAATAGGCAGAGATCCCAGAAGTTTCTCATAAAAAATTCTGTTTGAGGAGCCTGACAATATAGCAGGACAGAGCTTCCCTTCCCTCCATGCTACCATCCCATCAGGCCACTTCAAGCAAACAAGATGTGTGTGTTCTTGCAGCAGATGTTTATGTCTCTGTGTATGGAAGGCTACTTTGTGTGAGATTCCCCCAACTCTCCACGAGACCCATTTCTTTAAACATACTGTATAGTGGGAATAAATTAATTATTTGACTTCAGTTTCTATAGAAAATTTCACTCTAGAATTACAACCAACTATGCTGCTTCATTTCCAACACTTCAATGATGCAAATTAGACTTATTCAGAGTAAATCAAGTGGAATAAACATGTAATGAAGATACGGTGTTATCTGTCACAGTGTTTTTTAAATCCATCAAACATTTTCACTATATTAATGTGAGTTTATTTAATCAGTATACAAATGGAAGAATACTTCTAACGCTAAAAAAACTTGCTTTGAAATCGAGTTACACCTAAAAATCCCAAATAGTTATTGGGATATTTAAGCATATAATATGCTTATATTTGAGCATAAGCATATTTATAACCACCTGCATGTCCATAAGTAAACGAAGTCCTAGTAATTAATTATAGAGCACTCTTTAGACAGCATTTAGAACAGTGTCCACTTTTGGACCCCAGTACAAGACAGGCATTGATAAATTGCAACGAGTTCAGCTGAGGTTCCCCTAAATGAGCAGAAGTGGAGCACCTGCCTTCCCACAGTGAGAGGCTGAAGGAGCTGCAAATTGTTCAGACTGAAGAAGAGAGAGCTTCAGTGGGACCTCACAGCTGCTCACTGCTATCTTTGAGGTAGTTGCTGAGAAGGCAGAACCAGGGTCTTCAAAGTGGTGAGTGACAAGATACAACAGAAATCAAAACAAACTAGATTCCAGCTTGATCTCAGGGAAGAAAAGAATAAACCCCTTATTTTGCACTGTGAGGCAGTCAGGCTGTGAAAACAGGAAGTTGCAGTCTTCATCCTCAGAGATTTCTAAGACCCAGCTGGATAGAACTTTGGGCAACTGGGTCTGATCCTGCTTTGAGCAAGGGGCTGAACTGGAGGCCTCCTGGAGTCCCTATCAACCTGGATTATGCTTCTGTGATCCTCAGACAATAGACAAGATTAAGTTCTCATTAAAAGTACCCATGAAACAAGGACACATCCTCAAGGAAGTGGACTTCTCTATATCAAGAAAAAATATTCATTTTTAAAATATTATTTCTTCATCTGTCTAATTGCAGAAGCAGCTTCTGGCAGCCACCCAAAGTCATACTGCCATGAACAATTAAAAAAAAAACCAAAAAACATACTCCACCACAGTCTTAAAATAGCTACAACTTTCTCATTATCATGGAGCAGCAGTAGTCCTTCCACACAGGGAGAAATCTTTCAAGTAGTTTTCCACTGCAAGCACATTTTAATCCCCAGTATCACTCATGCGTACTTCTACGCTTGCACAAAAATTGATAACCATATAAAGCTCACTCTTGTCAGCAGATGAACAGAAATAATTACTCCAAAAATTTAAAACAAATCAGAAAACTTTGTTTATGATATTCTGCAGTTACCAATAGTTGAACATTCATTACTGAATCTAAAATAGCAAGGAAACAAAACAATTTTACAAGATTTAACTTGAGGTGACAAACAAAGCTTTGTTAAAGTTATCAGAACTTAATACAGTAACACTATCAAGAAATGGAGGCTCCCGTGATCTTACAATAACAATTAAACTACTTGGAATCTGTGTTTTCATTAAACATGGTATTTATACTTGTGCTTCCTAGGATTCATCAGAATGAAGACACACAGAGCAATGTTTGAAAGGTATGCTGGTAGAGTTTTCCTTGCTATAGTAACAACATACAGAGCCAGTATGAATACACTGCCTTGTGTTTCCCATATAAAACTAAAATACAAAGTCCGAAAAACAAAGGCGTGTCTGTGACAACCACAACTGCACAGAAGAGATAATACACAATATGTAGGATTTCAGAAATAATGTACAGAATAGCACAGAACTCTAGAAATTTCCAAGACAGCATCAAAGTTAAGCTAGGACAACTACAAAGGAAAAAGGTTAAAAAAAGTATTTCATGCTAAGTATTAAGCAAAAAAGAACATAAATCCTTTACAAAACATTTATAGAAAAGCAGTGGTCCTGAAGTGTCAAGCTGACAACAACATCTAAGTTATCAGTCACCAAAATAAGCACCAGCATCTTTAACACTACTAAATAGGTACTTAATCCAATGAAGTCAAGAGTAGTCATTCATCTTATAGTAAAGGTTAATACAATTTTAGGAAAATATACAAATACACACAGGAGTACAAAACAAGATGCAAGAAAGATCTAACGCAATGAAGGTAGTTTTCCAGACATCAGCTGTCCCTAACCAAACAGCACCAATTAAACAAAATGAAACACAGCGAGACAACAGTGCCACAACCCACTAATCAAGTCCATAGAAATAAATACATCTCTTTCAAGCTCATTTAACCAGTTATATTTTAGCACAAATGAACTCTATTCAGAAACAAAACAAGGCAGCAGAAGTCTCCAAGGTTACTACACTACAAAAAACAAGTAGCATAAAGCAGAGCATTCCAGTTTCAAGAGAGTTAAAATAC